CTGTGGAATTAAAAAAAATCATAATTACATTTCAATGTTATGTGATGATAAAAAAAAAACTAGAAGTAAAAACATTTTATTTAACAAGATTTAGCAAATTAAAAATGGCATGCGGTGGATGTGTAGGAGTTTATGTTTTAAAAAAAATAAATAAATAATCCATTTGAGCCTTGTGTTATATTTTAAATGTTAAAGATGGACAAAAAAAGAAGAATGTATTCAATTCTTCATAGTCCTTTAAAACAGAAAAAAGGAGAATGTAATAAAGTTGTTATAGTGCTCTTCTGTCTCTTCATCCTTCCTTTCTCCTCGGCTGTAAAACTGATGTAGAGAAAATGTATCAAATTTGTAATGTACAAGTTACTGAGAAATGCAACATAATATAAGACTCATACAGCAAAGGGTTATGGGAATACTAATACTACATCAGTTGGTGAGGGACACATTAGCTGTGTCTGACCTAGACTAGTTTCTCTTTTGTTGGGATTCCTGTTTGGCAAAACCTATTGTGCCAGTATACACATCACAATAAGTGTGCACATAACATGTGGCAGCAGCTAAAATGAAGAGTATTTATTACATCACTGTTGATAAATTATATATTATATATATATATTATAAATTATTCTTAAAGGGTATTAGGGATTGTCTGTTTTAAAAAATAAGCACTGGTGCAAAATCTGGTTTTCTACAAAATTCTGAAGAGTCTAAAGGCAGTTCCTTTGATGTCAATTTGAAATAACTTTGTTGATTATCATTATAACATTTTGCCACACGGAGAAAAATAATCTCTACAAAAATGTGAAACTGCATTCTGAAACGTATCACCATAAACACAGCACGCCTACCAATATTTTCACCATCTATGTATGGACACTCTTCTTTAAGGAGAGCAAAAAATGGGCGCAAGAGAATACTGAGAACAGGCAGCAGCTAAAATAGCCTGCCCTTCGGTGGGTGCCCGCTAAGTTCTCAAGCTGGTCTGGGGTTGCTGTGTCTCTCGTGCAGAGGGAACTTGCTGGCATTTCGGATCTGGACTGCCCGTATGGGTGGGGCCAGTCTGATCTGTTTCAGAGATGTTCTCTCTGAAACGGGAGAAGATGAGCTAAAACCAGCTTGAGATCTGAGTGCGACCCACCGAAGGGCAGGCTATTTCAGCTGCTGCCCGTTCTCAGAATTCTCTTGCACCCTGTTTTTTGCTCTCCACAAGTTTGAATGGTAATCAAGACATGGACCCCTTGCTCACCGTGCATAGAGAGATATCAGCTATGCCTCACTGATGATGCCTAACAAGGCTGAAACAATCATCTGGGGTTGCTGAGCCTCTTGTGCAGAGTTAACTCGCTGGCTTTTCGGATTTGGACTGCCCGTATGGGTGGGACAAGTCTGATATGTTTCAGAGATGTTCTCTCTGCAATGACAAAAGATGAGCTAAAACCAGCTTGAGAAGGGCAGGCTGTTTCAGCTGCTGCCCATTCTCAGTATTCTCTTGCGCCCTGTTTTTTGCTTTAAGGTATCTAAATCTCAAAATTCTAGTAACTTACTTTTCTACACTACCCTTTGTGTCACTAAATCACACTTCCGCTAGCTGCTCTAGCATGTAAGTTCATTGCGCAGGGCCCAAAACTCCTCTGTTCCTGTGTGTCCAACTCGTCTGGTTACAAATACATGTCCACCCACTGTACAGCTCTATGGAACTTGTTGACGCTTTATAAATAATAATAATAATATGTCACACTGACACAATATTTGCAATGTGTGATGGATATATAATAGAATATCCATTGACCTGTCTATTGCACATATAAAAACAATGAAGTTATTGTTATAGAGAGACATTGTACTGGAAAATAGACTCTACTAACTCTATAAGGGTTACAGATAGGGTCCACTTTTGAGATGATCTGACCCACAGCAGTTTGCTAGGTAAGTTTTGTAAATTTCTAAGGTTAGACCGAAAATCTTTAATCCATAGGGGGACCTTTCAGTGACTGGATCTAAGATGTCCAATTTTTGCTCTAACTAGCTGGAAAAGAATGAATGCAATCATAATCCAAGGACGGGTCAAGGACGCATTACTAGAGTTTTACAGTGTATGTATTGCCCATGTAATGTTTCAGCGTATATAGGACTTTTTTTGTTAGTTTAATTTATTATATAAATCTCTTCTTCCATGTGTCTGTGCTTTGTTAACTAGCGGTTAAACTCCAGGCTAAAGTACTACAAATGCACCGTGAGAAAGATATGTTGCATGACATATTGAATATGCATTTATTATAACGCGGCTCAGTGGCCAAGAGCTCTATAATAATTATAAAATGTATGCTTCACAAACTATACTTTTCACTGCTGTTTCATATGAAGAAATGAATGAATTGTATAGTAAAAATGTTAATTATACGTTTCTAGAAAAGGTTAATTGCAAAAATGGGCATCGGAAGCCGCAGGTTGTTTCATTTTATTGCATGCGAGTCGCGGGGGGAAAAAAGGAAACATATTGTTTGCCATCTTCCAAAAATACATAGCAATTTAGAAATAAAGGAATAGACCAGCAATACGCAAGGAATAATATCTGGAGCTTTTCAGACGGCATGAGCGATTCTCTGAGAGCACAGGTTCGAATTCCTTATTGCCGAGGAATTCTCTACCAGGAAATGCTGGTATGATCTGTCTTACTCTAATAATCCAATTTATGTTTTGTTGCATTGGGTTTATTGGCAGTGCATTATGACATGCCTGAAGCAAAGATAATGAGTTACCGACACAGGGGACACATAACAGGAGGAGTTGCAAGACAGAAAACTCCAGCAACATTGATATTTTTACCTTCACAAGAATAAGAATATTTCAAAAAGATTCTATTTGTGTAACCAGTTGGCAAACAATTTATCCATCAACTGACTGGTCTCTTTATCTGTCGCACTAACCCATTTCTGTTTACATTTCCAACATGTTGGGACTTGCTGTGTGTTGAAGGTTCACACTATTAAAACTCAGATGCATTGTCCATTATCTATGCAAGATGTTGCATTATTGTAGCTGTAGGTTGAGATAACCATTATTATTTTTCAAGAGCATTCATTTCTACAATGATGGCCAGACCATATCTGTTTTGTTTTAGGGGAATCTGAGTGATAGGGACAAATTTTTGTTTAATAAGCAACCCTACAAAGAAAGACTGCATCCATATAAAAAGGCTTTATGGGCTGTCAATATTCATATCATAGGTGGAGCATGTGCAAAATGTATGTTCTATAGAGAAAATAGTCTGGATTTATGCAAATCTGGGTGGAGTTTGACCTGAGTAGGCATATACATTGTTAAGTCTTGCCTAATCTTGTGCTGCCAGTACATAGATTAGGCCAGATGAGGGTTAAGTCAGTCTTACAAGAAGATTGGAGATTGAAAGGGGCAGGAGGGGAATACAAAATAGAAACATAGAATGCGACGGCAGATAAGAACCATTTGGCTCATCTAGTCTGACCAATTTTCTAAATACTTTCATTAGTCCCTAGCCTTATCTTATAGTTAGGATAGCCTTATAACTACCCCATGTATGCTTAAACTCCTTCACTGTGTTAACCTCTACCACGTCAGCTGGAAGGCTATTCCATGCATCCACTACCCTCATGAACATTACCTAGGGAGAGTGCAAGCAATTCAGGTTGGGTAAAAGTAAATTGAGTTATTAACTACAGAAAGTAGAAGAGATGGGAATATACACTTTAGTTGGAAAATAACTATTTAATGTGAAATGAAGGAGACAACACAAATTGTATAATTTAGAGGAAGAATAGGAAACAATAAATATAATAATTATCTAGGCTGGAGGCAGGTAGGTCATCCTTAGGAAGGATGTTACAAACATACTAGTTTATCGAAATGCAATAGATCATTGAAACAGCCTTCTAGCAAAAGTAGCTACTAATTAATTCTAGATTTGCAGAAGGTGACTGAGTAATAAATAGTCACAAGGTTTTAAACAGATAGTAGAATCGACAACTCCGAGACGGCTGTTTTGCTTAAAATGTTACAATTTTACATTTTATCAAATGATAACTATTTGACAGTAGATGTTAGACAACCTGTCGTCTATCAAGAGTTTTTGATTTATTTATATATTTTATCTTGAAACTGTTTCTTTAATGTCTTAAAACTACTGTATTCTAATAAATTCTATTACATGACCATTCACCCGCATTTTCTCTTCAGCAGTGTTGTGGTGTGACTTACATTCGTAGACCCTGTGGGTCTAACGAAGGCAGAAAGATTAATTACCTACAGATGCTTATTCATTTTCCTTTGCCACAAGGGGATTGCAAAACAATAACAAATATCATATAATGAAAGTCAAGTTTGACCTGCATAAGCCAGAGCCAAATCCAACACTTTATTTTGTGTCGTTTCTGTGCTTTGGGAAAATTTACTAATAATATATTCATAGTTGGATCGGATGATTAACAAACAAGAAGAAAAGTGCATGTGATTATTCTGGATTTAATAATTAAATTCATAGAGGATAATTATTCTGACCTTTCAGTTTGCAGAACGGTAAAAAAAAATAAAAAATGAGTATTTAAATTTAGGCACGCTATGGTGGTAAATTTAACCACAATTTCTTTCTATTTAGAGTGCAGGCATAAGAAAACATATAATCAAAATACTGCTGAGATCATTAGCAGAGAAACTTAAGATCTAAAATTGAAACCATAAATGCATTCATCTACCACCATTTGTATAGTGCTTTTGGCATATAATCACTAAAACGTAGGATATTTTTTCCAATCTTGCTTCCTTCTTTTTTGCATGCTTTTGTAGTTTTGCTACCTCTTCTCTATTATCTCTAATAAAGCACTCACCTGACCTTTTCTAATGTCTCATTTTTATTTATCTATTATATATCTGATCTATAGAAATATAACGGAAAAAATATTTTATATCTTGATGTAATAAAGGGCTTTTCTACTCTGTAATTTTATGCAGGATTTGTTATTTTACGGCTTTAATCCGAAAGGTATTATCTAGACGAGACCTCAGTCTTCTTTGATTAGCATGAGAAGACCAGAAGAATTTTAGAAGAAGGGTTGCATGTGCCAACATATGGTGTTCATGTGAGTATTGATTGGAGATTGCTCCAGAGTAGAGCAGCGATAATTCATCCTGGTCTCATGGTTGAATGAGTAAAAGAGGCAAATATCATTTATACTTCATCAACGATGATTACCAGAATAGTCTTCTATTCTAGGGCTGTGCAGAGAGCCTGGTGGTCAGTATGACATGGAAGAGAGGATCACAGGTTTAAAGGTTTATTTAAGGTGAAAAAACTATGAAAGTGTTGCCCAAAATATTAAGTGCATTGTATAATCGGACTTCTCTAAGAACATCGTATTTCTAGACTGGACATCACTTGATGCATGGGTAGATCTGAATTTTTTCTTCAACGCAGCAGACATTAAAAATAAAGATTATATTCAATAAGAAAGGGAATTGATGTACTAATTTAGGTCACACTAAGAGATGTACTAATGTCACACACTCAAATGATCCCATGATCAATATTCACATACTCATACTTGCTGGTGTGAAGCTGAACCAGGAGACCTGGACTCCTATGGTGCCATAGCGTGCCAGGATGACAGACAGACCTACACAGCAGTTGACCAGGACTGGCTGTATAGAAAGCCCATACGGACATTCTCTCATTTAGACGGAAATTTCCTGGAAATGCCTTCCACAGGATTAGCACTTTAATAGTGCATTTGCACTTACTTTTTATCTGGTCCCCAGAATAAGAATATTTAGCCGAAGGCCATGGAAGGGATGGCAACTATTAGTCTGGGGGTAGAGATAAACACATTTCTTGCACAAGGTATTCAAATATGTCAGGGGTTCCCAACCCAGTCCTCAAGTACACCCTACCAGTTCAGGATTTAGGGATTACCCTGTTGTGTCTAAAGTGTTTTTTTTCTTTTGTTAGATAGATAGATAGATAGATAGATAGCACAGGCCATAGTCCCATACACAATCCCAAACAGTGCTGGGCTGGCAAAGCCCCCGCACAATCCTGCCTGCTGCCTTATTTGCAGAGTTGTGCAACCAGACATCCAAACACATTTACCACCCCTTTTATTTTCAGAAGAATTGTTTGTGATTGCAAGTAACACCTCCTTGCCATCTCTTCCATGCTAGGGTACTCAGAGAAAAGTTGCTTCCCTGCCTATTTGTTAGTGCTCACATGCACAAGGTAGAATGAATACACAATGCCCTGGATTAAAAATCTGCCCCTCCAGCTATGCTAAATGCCAACCATAGGACAGGATGGCAGAGGATATAATGTTTAGTTATTTTAATAGTGTAGTATAATCTGATGCAAAGCCAAACTGAAACCGTTTATGCACAATACTGTTAGTGGGGGCTGGTGAAAAATGTTAGAGCTTAATTAAAGTATCTAGGCTGCATTATGGAACATTTTGCTTTGGTCAGCCTACAATGTGACCTTGTCCAAACTGATTAGGCATCATGTCATCAAGCATCTATCCATATGTCATTCACAAGAACCTCTTACACACAGTTACTACAAGCCATCGACTGCAAACAAATATGTGAAATAACATACCAGCCACCTAAAGAGCTATAACTATATGGGGCATCTTGTAAAATATCACTCCACTTTTTTTTGTGTTGCTTTTTTTTTTTTCTTAAAAGAACACTCCGTGTACCAAGTACAGTTGTTGTTTTTTTACCTAAAATACATGCGTTTTTCTCCACACTGAGAACTCTTTAGATTAGTTAAAAAAAAAAAAAAAAAAAAATCCTTTGTGCATAACTCCATCCTTTTAGCAACCCTCTCCTTTCCACGGGTTGTCTTTGTGATCGATAGATGAACAGATTAGCTCATTATCTAGAGCAGTGGTTCCCAATCAAGTCCTCAACTACCCCCTAACAGTCCAGGATTTAGGGATTATCCAGTTGTGTCTAAGGTGTTTTAGAAAGAAAGAAAATAAAACACTTTAGACACAACAGGGTAATTCCCTAAATCCTGGACTGTAAGGGGGTCCTTGAGGACATGGTTGGGAACCACCGATCTAGAGATTAGTGTGAGCTGAGAAGCTGACTTGCATCCCCCTCACCGCCAATCAGATTCCTCTTCCTATCTGTGTAGTATTTCAAAGCATTGATAAGTAGAAAGGGGGCAGTGATTTTAGCAACTCAGTTCAAACTGATTTCGGATTGGCTGAGTTCCACATGTACTCCGAGTACATATAAAACAGAACAGAATTTGTGCAAAGGGTGTATTACAAAAAAAACTGTAAAAGGTTAGAATTTAGTGAAAAATATATGGCAAACCCTATGAAATGAGGTTAAGTTGTGTTGGTGCTTTATTTATGCAAAGGAATCTTATTTGTTTGCTAACAGACTAGTAAGGTAAGTAATTTTCTCAATTCCACAGGTTTTTATCAAGCGCTGTTCAGCAGTATTGCACATACACAGCAGAGCCAAAAATGATTACAAAATACTTTCACCTACACTACAGGTTTATGCAAGCAATTGTAATCTTTTACTTTTACAGAGAAAATTGAAGGGATGCATTTGGCTTTTGTACAATACCCATAAACATCAGCTACACAGAGTTTTATAGTTTAAACATTGAGATAAAGCACAGAAAAACAAGGCAAAACAGAGAGGTCTTGGGTTTCTATTTTGGGGACTTTTGAAAGACCATTTAAATGGATTTATATATTTTATAACTTTTTATGTTTTTCTTTCTTTTTTTGTTTTTTTGTTTTATGGAATGTGACGGCAGATAAGAACCATTCGGCCCATCTAGTCTGCCCAATTTTCTAAATACTTTCATTAGTCCCTGGCCTTATCTTATAGTTAGGATAGCCTTATCCCTATCCCACGCATGCTTAAACTGCTTTACTGTGTTAACCTCTACCACTTCAGCTGGAAGGCTATTCCATGCATCCACTACCCTCTCAGTAAAGTAATACTTCCTGATATTATTTTTAAACCTTTGTCCCTCTAATTTAAGACTATGTCCTCTTGTTGTGGCAGTTTTTCTTCTTTTAAATATAGTCTCCTCCTTTACTGTGATGATTCCCTTTATATATTTAAATATTTCTATCATATCCCCCCTGTCTCGTCTTTCCTCCAAGCTATACATGTTAAGATCCTTTAACCTTTCCTGGTAAGTTTTATCCCGCAATCCATGAACCAGTTTAGTAGCCCTTCTCTGAACCCTCTCTAAGGTATCAATATCCTTCTGAAGATACGGTCTCCAGTACTGTGTACAATACTCCAAGTGAGGTCTCACCAGTGTTCTGTACAATGGCATGAGCACTTCCCTCTTTCTACTGCTAATACCTCTCCCTATACAACCAAGCATTCTGCTAGCATTTCCTGCTGCTCTATTACATTGTCTGCCTACCTTTAAGTCATCAGAAATAATCACCCCTAAATCCCTTTCCTCAGATCTTGAGGTTAGGACTCTAACAGACAGTTGAAGCATCTGTAAAACTCTCCAGAATATCTCCAATCACACACTTAGAAGCAGCACTTAGATGAATCAATCAAGCTATATGATGTTTTTTTCTTATACTGCGTTATCAATAATAAAATCCCTTAGCAACAGATACAGTATCTCACCAACACCTTGATGTCCATTGGTTTTCTATCGCTCAAACCGTAATATAGCAACAGAAAGGGGTATAATGCGTTGGAGAACATTTTGTTTTTAAGAAGAAACAGGTGCTGGTAAATGCACACTAAAACAGTTGAAAATGCAAAACAAATACGTATTACCTGTACAAATATTCAACCACATCAATTGTATTCTTCTACAGCTCACTTGATGTCCTCAGTTGCCCCTATTTTTGGATCCTGTGTTATGGTACTGTTTTACTCATCTTTTCTTTCTGAAATATTTATTGCCTTTAAGTTAGCACACACCGCTTTATGCAAGAGAAGTGGAAGCCTACTATATCCAAGGCTGATATTTTAACACTCTTTCTGAATTATTTATAAGATTACGCTGATGCATAACTCCCATTTGGGCATTGGACACAGTGAATGTTCTCACACCCGTACCAATTATCCTACGGGCTGCCCTGGTGGAATAAGCTGCAGCAAGTTATATACATCGCTCTTTCCCTCCGTCTCACAATGAACAAAATGATGATGTGGGCAAATGACTTATTACATAAATTCTAACCTTCTGGCATCATTTTATTGAGTCATTTTTTTCCATTTATTAAAAAAAAAAAAAAAAGCTATATGCTGTCTGATTTAAAAAATAAATAAAAAAATGCACTATGATTCACTATTGTATTATGATGATGTTCATAAAGCCATTCATTAATATGAATACTTGTTTGAACCAATTTCCATCAAATGTATTTTCCACTTTATGTCTTTACCATTGTTTTTTGTAACTTGACTGTGATTTCCTCAACCTTAGTGACTGAATGGTTCGTCTATGTATCCACCACCCTACAAAAGGAGCTCTCTTTTACCAGGCGTTTCGCTAGATTCCAAAAACACCTGGATCTTGAGCCCAAAGAAAAACTTAATGGCTCCTACACTAAGAGAGAGATGGTGATATGTCATGATATATATTTGCCTTTTTATGTTATGTCCCCTCCACCCATGAACAAAGTGTTGCTTATGCTCTCTGGGATAAAAGCCTAACAAGAAGCAACTGTGAAGATCTATGGCTAAAGTGCACCACATATGGGGCTTCTGCCCCCCAAACCCCACCTAGCAACACCCATTTCTTTCAGTAAAGAGAAAATATAATAATAAAGCAATGATAAAGCCATGCCCTCCTGAAGTTGATTAAAATGTATCATTTGATGGTTCTGTGTATTATTCCATAGTTGTTTCTGGCTTCATTCTCAAGTTGACATTGGTGAACTGAAGATGGTTGCAATGGGAACTTGAAAGGACTATTGTCTCCCTTGAGGTCATAACAGCTAAATGCAAATTATTAAATAATTTATGATTGCGCATAACCAGATTTCATTTTTTTTTATCTATATTTGTTGAGTGTACCGATGAACCAGGCCATCAGAAATTAAAAGCATGACCACACAACCTGGTCACATTTGAGAGGCGTCTAATTTGTATTGGTATAGTTGTCAATGCACTGCCTTTAAGTTAGCTCTTAATCCCCTGGACTCGGAGACTGATCTTGTTTGGATCCAATGGTTGTGTAGACCTCAATGTTTTCATTAAGTTTGCAGCAGAGCTGTTGGATACAGTCTTTGCCGTAAACTTAGAATATCTCCAAATCTTCAGTTAAAATGTAATTTAATAAAATAACACTGTTTAAAATTAAGCAATTTATGGGAGAACCCACCATGCACAATGTTCTAGAGAATTGTGACTTAAAGGCCTGTGACTACAGTGTGCTTCAAGGCTTAGCAAGCTGGTAAAAAGTTGTGAGTGATTTTGTTAGCTAAGGAGATAAAACAAGTGCTGCCTAAAGTTATTGGCAGGGTTTCAGCAGAAGGAATTTCGTATGCAGGAATAAGCAGAAATTGTTTTTAATTGAACCTGGCATTGTGTCTTAGAGAGTCAAGGTAGAACTAGACACTAGTTCAGGTTTGCAGTTTGTCCTGGACGATAGCACAGGAATATGGTGTACAATGAGTGTTTGAACAGGAAGCAGATTATTCTAGGTGTTTGCACAGGAATACAGCTGTCACAGAGGATTTGCACAAGAATGTAGCCCGCTCTGGGATATGGAGACACAGCACATTGGCTCAATTACTTGAGAGGCACAATATAACTGAGCACTGAGGAGATGAGGAAGCAGTCTTACATAGGGAGGTGGGAGCCACATCTCCTAACACGTGATACTGGACGTGGACACCTCCCCCAGAGACACACAGTACGACCTTCTAGAAAGTATGCAGCATTCTATTATTTTTGTTTTTTTATACTATACTTGGTTTGATTTGTTCAAGCTGACTTCTGCTTTCCACCAATACATTTCAGGTGCCAGGAAACTACCATCTCCCATTTCCCTTGAGGAAAATTGTGGCTGGGAAAGATATTTACAAACCCCAGTGTCTATTAAGTGAATGTCATGATGTCACAGACAGTGAGGAAGTAAATCCCTGAGACTGGTATTGGAGAGACCTTGAGAGATGCTGTCATGGCATCTTAAGGTATGTGGGAGACTGGGCATACCCAGTCCTGACACTTATTGTGCACTATTCTCACAAAAACTAGCTACGATTTTGAATACATAAAGGAATTAATAAATAGCTATGCAACCAGACACCTCAATTCCACACAAACTTTCTAAAACCTACTGACCTCTGCTGGAAGGGTTTTGGCAAGCGGGCCATGTACATTCATTGTTGATGATCTTGTTCCCCAATTCAGCTTTTCTAGTCAACAGCTTTTTCTCTCATCACCACTGTTCTGTATAAACCCTTTACTCATAGTCCTTAATCGTTACTCCTCACATGAGAGCCAAAAACATAATAGCGGACACAATTGCCTTGGTGAATCACAGAACCATAGTTAAACTATAGATAGATAGTAAACTTCCCAGTATGCCCACAATTACCTACAAAATTGACCCGGCAATAGATATGAATAAAATGACCACAGAGACCCATGACGTCCATATAACTCTTTAAAACGTTCTAAAATTTGGGATCTTTGGCTCTCTCCCCTCATCTAGCTTAGCCAGTTTCTCTACTTCTCATTTTCTCTTTTTTTCTGTTCTCTGTGTTTTATTCCTCTCTTTTATTTTGCAACATTTTTTGTTTTTGAACAACGTTTTTGTTCACTTTTTGTGATTTGCGCTTATTCTTTTATATACGAAAATGTCCCTTAAATAAAGAATAAAGAAAAAAAAAAAACTTTGCAGTCAGGAAAAAGACCAATGATTGGTCAAAACACTGCTTTTCTTTTTAACGGGGCAACAAAAGAAACATTTTAGTTTTTACTATTTTTTCAATTTATTGTGCTGTCGAAATAACCTAATTTTTCGTAAGTAAATAAAACCTTATTATTTTATTGAAAATGGTACTTCTTTGTAACAATCACCTTTTATTTTTCATATGATGTATCCTTAAGCTCATCGTCTTACCTTACCTTTACATTCTAAATGCCAGATGTCTTTTATCAGGGACAATTGAATACACTAAGAATAAAGCAATGTAGTTGAGAAAAGAGGGAGTCTAGATGAAATAAAGATCAACAAAAAAAAAGTAAAAAGGACTAGTTTAAAGAGTTCTCTTGCAGTAGTCATATCTCAGAAAGGCCGTTTGACATGGATTGGGTCAGAGGTGATGTCCTGGCAAACAATCAACTGGCAATATGAACATGCGAATGGCAGAAAGAGGGAAAAGGTGTCGGACTAGTTTCTTTATGAGTCTAGTAATTCTTCAAATATAGAAGTTCAAGTCAATCACTTTCCTCTTTTCCATTCTAAAGAACCTGGATCTGTCGGAGAGGTGGTATTTGACCCCTCATTTGGAACTCATACAGCAAGAACACAGACATGTTGTTGAAGTGTCGACTGATCAACAGATGCCTAATTAACCTCCAAGAGTTTTTCACACAAAGATTTTGAGCCGCAGTGTAAAAGTTCAAAGTTCTACTCAAGTAGTCTGACAGTGATTCACTTCATTTTTGTTTATTTCCCAGAAAAAATACAAATATCCAAAGTTCATGACTGTCCAAACAATAAATACCAAAGACCAGAGCATTGACTTCCCATTTCAGCGTGCATTCAGTTGTACATCTAAAGGTCCAGCTATAAGGAAGCCTCAATGTATATTTGATCTCTTGTGGTCGACAAACAGAACGAGAAATTCCAAAGACAATCTATGATGTATACATGTTAGTTTTTTTTTCAGTATTTCCATTTGGAAGTGGGAACATAATTCACAGAGTTGCACACTGGCTAAACAAAGCATATATATCAGAATTAAGAAAAATATATATCTGGCTATACAAGAAGCAACTGGGATCCTTATTTAAAAAGCATATAGCTCACTGGATGTAATGTATAATATAGAAAATAAACTATACAAAATGGGTATGATAAATTGCCAGATTAGAAACCCATATCTACTTACATAATTATATTAATTCTGTTTTATATAAACTAGGTGTGCCATACAAAGATTGAGAAATGTATCAACTGTATCAAAAAAGTATCAAATGTATCAAAAAAAGGAATCAATCAATACATTGATTGCTTTCCTATTTTTAGGTTAGTGATAAGGTATTTATTTGTTTTACACGCGCAGAC